CGAAAACTACAGACAAAGACAAATTATGAACGGACTTATAACGATAAAGGAAACCCGAGAAGCAATTAAAAAGGGTAAATCAGGATAGATGCCTGGATCAGATGGACTATTGTTTGTATTATGTTTTGAGGATGAACTTTTACATCCTCTATTCTCCAGGGAGGAAGGATACCAGAGACTTGGAAAGAAGCCAATATAACATAGATACCTAAAGAGGGACAAGATTTGACTTCAGTAAGAAATTACAGACCAATATCATTACTGAATAATTACCATAAGTTGTTTACAATGATTTTAGCTGAAAGATTGAAAATAATTTTGCAAGAATTTATTCATGAGGATCTGTGTGGGTTTTTACCTAAAAGACAGTTGAAAGATGTTAGAACTGTGTTGGATATTTCGGAATATTTGGAAAACATAAGAAAAATCAAGCTGCATTAAACTTTTTAGATGCAGATAAGATGCAACTTTTAGATTTGACAATCTGAACTGGATTTTTTTGTTTAAGGTTTTGGAAGATATGAATTTTGGAGAGAATTTTATAAAATGCGTGAAATCAATTTATACTCCACAGACAGCACAAATAATCATTAATGGAGAATCAACTAAATAATGTGTGATACAAAAAGGAACAAGATAAGGTTGCCCATTGTCTCCTCCTTTATTTTAGTTCTTGAATTTTTAAATAAAGATATAAGGCAAGATGAGAGAATCACAGGTGTAAAGATTAAAAAAGAGCCATACAAATTAAGATCTTAGATTAAAAGAGAGCCATACAAGTTAAGAGCTTTCATGGATGACTTGGTTTTGATTTTGTCAGACCCTTTAAAGGGAATTGAACTTTTAATGAGTAAATTAAAAGAATGTTGGCCATTAGCAGGCTTTAAGATTAATAAACAGAAGACAAAGATGTTAACAAACCATATGAAGTTACAAGACCAAACAGAACTGATGAATAAAACGGGTTTCAAGATTGAGAAAATATTTGGGTATAGTTATGACAAATATGAACTGTATGTTATTTCAAAGTATGTTAAGACATGGAATGAAGTTAAAAAGATAACGTCAGAATGAGACAAAGTACAATTGTCACTGTTGGGGAGAATTTCTCTGATTAAGATGAATGTTTTACCTAGAATGTTATTTTTGTTTCAGACAATACCTGTTTTGACAACTGATGTACCATTGAAACAATGGCAGAAGGATATATCTAAATTTGTATGGCAAGGGAAAAAAACCAAGTTAAATATAAGGTATTACAAAATGCGAAGGAAAGAGGAGGATTGGGCTGACCAGATTTGAAACTATATTTTGCTGCTTGCTGTTTAGTTTGGATGAAAGAGTGGGTACTGTTAAGAAATAGAAGGTTATTGAATTTAGAAGGTGATGATCTGAGATTTGGGTGGCATGGATATCTATGGTATGATAAAGCTAAGGTGAATGTAGACTTTAAAAATCATTATGTTAGACAGGCTATTCTTAGAGTATGGAATAAGTATAAACTCAGGTTTTTACCAAAAACACCTTTATGGCTTTCAGCACAAGAAGCATTTTATAGACAAGAAATGATAAGTAAACATAAATGGTTATCCTACCAAGGTATACTAGAATTTTCTCAAGGGGATTGTAAAATGAAATCAAGAGGAGATTTGATAACAGAAGGATATTCTTGTCAATGGTTTTTTTATGTACAGTTAACAGAAACGTTTAAAGTGGATAAAAGATTTAATAGTACAAAGTAAGACTGAGTTTGAAATAGAATTATGTATTAATGATGAACACGTTATGGCTAAAATGTATAAACTTTTGCTGAAATATGAGACAGAAGGACAAGTGAAAGAATGTATGATAACATGGGCTAAAAAAATTGGCCATAATATACAAATGGACCAATGGAAAAATATGTGGTTGGAAGGATTGAAATTTACATTATGTTCTAGCCTTAAGAGAATTTTTTAAAAATGATGTATCATTGGTATCTGTCACCAAAGAAATTGTCTAGAATGTATAAAGGTACTACGAATCTTTGCTGGAAATGTGAACTACACGAAGGGACATTTTATCATGTTTGGTGGGCATGTAAAAAAGCCAAAAAAATTTGGATAGAAATACATGCATTAATTCAGAAGATTTTAAAGGTTAAAGTACAACTGAAAGTAGAGGTTTTTCTTTTGGGACTAATGGACAAACAATTAGAAAAAAGTCATGGAACTTTGTTTTTATATATGACAACTGCACTGAGATTATTATATGCTCAAAAATGGAAAGGTTTGACACTACCTGCATTGGAGGATTGGCTGGTGAAGATGGTGGAACTTGCAGAGATAGCTAAATGAACTTCTTTGATCAAAGAAAAAACAATATCTGCATTTATGTTTGACTGGAAACCTCTTATAGACTTTTTGCATGAAACAGAAAAAAATGCATTTATGATGTGTGGTTTTGATGATTAAAAAATATGAATAATAGAAAAATGAGCTTTTTTGTAATTATAATTATAATTTTGCAATTGTACTTATATTTGCTGAAAAGGAAATTGGATGTTTCTTCCTTCTATTTTTTCTTTACTGTTTTATTCTGCAGTTTTACTTTTTCTCTCTTATTTCTTTTCTTCTTTATTGTTTCTACTCTATATTAGTTTGTGTTAGTTTTTACGTGCTTTGTAAAACTTTTAATAAAAAAAATTACTTAAAAAATACGTTCTGTCTTGGGGGCAGATGAGTCAACCAAAAGACATTAATGACCTTAATACCAAAAATGAAATTGCCCTGCTTCTCATATCAGAATTTTGCGAGATAATCTGAAGTAGAGTTCAGGTGCCAAGCACAGGTAGGAAGAAAAGAACAGTAGCAATCTACCATCACAGAAACAGGTCATCAGCTATGCACTGGTATATGCCACAAACTAGACATTGTAGGAGTGTTAGTCTATGGTGGCCAAAAATCAGAAGGAGTCTGGTACCACCTTTTCAGACTAACACATTTTACTAAAAGGCATAAGCTTTTGTGTTCAGCTCCAGATTTCTCCTAATTTGGGGCCACAAACTAGGAAATGCTTCCAACTGAAAACATAACTAATAAGTGCATAGACCCAGAGACCATCACTGGTCATTCTGATCTGTTTTCAGACTGGAGGCTCAGATCAGCATACTTCATTCAACATACAAAATCACTGTACTTCTATTACTACAGAACCATGAGAAATCAAAAACAGAATTAATGCATTGAGGGGGAGATAGTGAAAGATACACTATTAAAACAAAAGGCATCCCTGGCATTCTTTCAAAGACAAAAGTGTCTTTGAAAAAGCAAAGGCTTGTAGAAAAGAAATAAAGCCTTACAAATTTACCTAACTCCAATAAGAAACAATAAACTTCCAACAAGCATTTTAGCATCCTCAATTCTACACATCATGGGCATGTTCAAATTACTGCAATTTTACATGTTGTAATTAATTTCCTTGAAGTCCTAAAAGCAATTCATTTACCTGTTATGGGCTTGCTTCACTGCAAAAGCATACAGATTATATTCAAGTACAGAAGCAAGGCCCAGACCATATAACGTCTAACATTAACTGTGGCCTTTCGAATTCAGTATATTCATTGATAATACTTCTAACTTGTTGGAAAAGTGATATAGGCTTTTTCGGAAAAAGAAATCTCTACGTGGGTTAACCTCATTTCACAGGAACCTCTATGCATATAGATATTCACTTGTGAAGGTAGTACATTACATTATAAACACAATGGGAAACCCATAAAATCTGACTTGAATCCACATTTTGTTGCATTCCTAACTTACATATCTAGGTCACAGATAGCTCCCCAGCATTACAGTCAATTTTGGGGAAATTTATAAAATATTTAGAAAAAGTAAAATTATGTTTGATTTTTGTTTTCCTTTCCCTTTCACAAATGTCAATTTGTAACTATTTAGTTAGACTGCATACAGAGATTTAGGAAGGATGGGGATATATGATTCATGGCTTACTACCATGATAGACATTTTCATAATTGTACATTTAAATTCATTACAATTTTGGTTTCAGAGGCTAGGTTCTGAAAACGCACACCTTGGGGGTATTTTCTGCAATTTTCTTTATGGAAATTTGCTGTGATTCTTAAATACATGTTCATTCTGACGTGAATCTAAAAAAGCAATATTAAAAGACTACACAGATATTGATTGTCAGAAATTCTATGAATCTGTTTCACACTATAAAGGTAAAGAATTATAGGTCAGCTGAGCTAAAATATTGAAAGACATCAGGTTTCAGTCATATTACCAACTGTTGCCAAAATCCCATGCTTATCAATTTAAACTCCTTACTTCAAATTCTTGTAGCTACAAAAGATTAAAGTTGTATCTAAATCTGAGTAGGACAGAATACACAAATTCCAAAAATGTGTGTAGCTACGAAGATTAAATAAAGGAACATATTAATTTGGAGCCAGTGAATTACATCCAGCTGCGACAGTGAATTAAGTACCGATTAATGGCTAAAGCTTTTCTCCAGTTTGGATTCTGAAGCAAACTCATTAAGCTTTTAGAGTAGCTATAATGTGTGTACTGTGGGAACTGTTCAGTGCTATTCAGGAGACTTTAACTGTAAGCTCAGAGCATTTCCTGCAGAGCTTCTGATGCTATTTTCTTTATATAACATGTGTGCCTGAAAATCCAGCCAAAAATAAACCCTTTGTTTTTCTACTTTGTTGTGGTCCCTCTCAGCTTTACGTTTCTTGAACACAGGTAAATAAACTCATAATCCAGATGGTGCAACAGATGTGAGAGCAGCACTCTGAAATCAACAGACAGTGGGCAATACTTTCCATTTTCTCTTTTAAACGCTAACTAATATGTAATTCGGAATCTCCGGTGTAGTTAGCATCTGCTCCCTTCGGCCAGCCAAAGGTTACAGGTGTTCCTGATGTCATTTCACAGTAAGGCGTGGGCTGGGCTTGTGAGTGAGTGCCCAGGCTCTAATCTTTCCCGACCACCTACCAGTTTTATCATGCTGGGCCTCCATTTGCCGCATCTTCTGTGTCAGCTCCTGCTCTCTCTGTTGAGCCTGAAGGACTCGGGTCTTTGCCTCATTGCTAAAGCTATGCTGAATGTTCTCTTTTTCTAATCTAGGGGAAAAAAAGATGAGAGGCTGGTAAGTTCAGAAGTATATAGTTTTTAAAAAAGAAAATATATAATTCAGAAGATACATAGGGCAGGAACAATACAAAATGCAGATCTCTGGGATCAGGATACTAAGTAATTATGTTCATTTCTTTATAAGTAGTTTTCTACCCAAAATTGTGAATAATACAACTACAAATTAAAATAATCAAAATCATTTTTAAAACAGCATTAGAAAAAAGCCAACAGTACACAATACTTTGATCATACTACATAATTAAAAGCAAAACAAATGATTGGCTATATTATTAATAGCTTGTTCTAGAGCAGGGATGGTGAACCTATGACATGCGTGTCGAAGATGACACGCCACAACATTTTGGGTGACATGCCAGTGTTCACCAACACCCAACAACAATTCTCCCTGTTTGAGTTACCAAAGAAATTGAATTTGTTTTACTTGTATTGCATTTTTGTAATACTTTGACATTACTTTATATAACACATAGCACCACACATGATTGGACTGTATTTATATGAATATGTAAAGAATTGTTTCTCTTTTGTTTGTGTGTGTGTGGGGGGGGTGACACGCTTGCAGAATCAAGTTAGGCGTTTTCCGAATTTTTGACACGCCAAGCCGAAAAGGTTCGCCATCGCTGTTTTAGAGAAACAAGACAACAATAAACCAAACATAGTTAAGGAAGGTACCTATTATCCTGAAAACATTCTGCTCAGATCCCATACTACTGTATGTAGCTACAGTACTTCTATGTTCTTTCCTGGCACCATTTATAATAAAAATCATACGCCTTTTTTATGTCTTGACATTCTCAGAAATGTATGAAAGTATTCATTCTAGATGTATGCATTACAGCAACACATTTAACAACTTCTGGATAAATTCTAAATTAAGTTGAACAAATGCATTATCACTACTTATGAGGCAGAATTTAATGTAATCAAAAGTCTGTGTTAATTTATGACATTTCAAGTGCTTTTCATTTGTTGGACCCAGTTCTTCTAAAATCTGCAGTCTCAAGCAGTCCAGCTCTATGGTTAATATCTGGGTGACTGCAGATGTATTATTTGATAGATATTTAAATACATTGTTGTATTGTCACAGACAGACCACTACTTGCTGGCATTTACACTCACTGACAGGACCCGTTAAGGCATGACCCCTGTTACATCTGACCATTTGAAACAAGTCATGCTTCAGATTTGTCTTCTTCCATTCCTTGAGGGATTTTCCTATCACTAGAACAGATAATTATGTCAAAATTCTTCCAGTTTTGATAACTGGAATACCTGGCACAATCCCTCTTGAAAGCTTTCCCCAACTGAACAAAACCAAGAGACATCCCTGATTTTCAAGGGTGCTAGAGGTAAAGAAATGAACAGAACAACCAATTGTGCAACCTTTAATTTTGAAAAAAGAAACTAGTTCAGTCAAACTTGGAAAGTCCATTTGAAAACTTCCTATGAGGAAGTTAATTTTATACACCACCACTGCACAGTGTGGAGTCAATCATCAAAGACTGTTCAGATGACCAAAAGCCTGTTATCTTCTGACCCATGATAAGGAAAAGAAAAACCATTCAAATAATTGGTTATTACTAACACTGCAAACAGAATGCATCATTATCTTTGCCAAGTGTAAAGTCTTAGTTCTAACAAGCATAACTGCGGTCTCAGCTTGTCATGTTATACTGGCTGCTTTTCCATTCCTACAGCTAAAAGATGTGGACAGGTTTCTTGCATCAACAAACTTCATAATGCTTGATCCTTGGTTTTCCTGGCTTACAAAGCAGCTTAAGGTTAAGGATTGCACTGAATGACTGTTTATGAAAAGTTTGTTCTCAAGTCCATTAGGAAACATTTCTCCTAAAACTACCAGTTTGGATAATCTTAATCTAAACTCCTATATTCCCTTTTTGAATAACATGTTTGGAAATCAGAGGTTTCCAACTTCAGTCCCGATTTCAGCATTCGAGCACCATTCCTGCTCAAAGAGCAGGTGGCAGCCGTGGCAAGGAGGGCCTTTACACAACTTTGGGTTGTGCATCAGTTACGCCCTTTCCTGGATCAGGATGCCCTTCGAACAGTCACTCATGCCCTTGTTATCTCCCATATAGACTATTGCAATGTGCTCTACATGGGGCTACCCTTGAAGAGTATCTGGAAGCTACAGTTGGTCCAGAATGCAGCTGTGCAGGCTATTTTGGGAGCCCCAAGAAGGCCCATGTAATGCTGTTGCTCCGTGAACTGCACTGGGTACCAGTTTGCTTCCAGGTCCAATTCAAGGTATTGTGTATCACCTTTAAAGCCCTACATGGCATGGGACCAGGTTACCTAAGGGACCGCCTCTTCCCCATGACTTCAACCCATCCCACCCGTTCACACAGAGAGGGCATGCTTCGGACCCCCTTGGTAAAAGAGCTCTGATTAGCGGGGTCCAGAAGGTGGGCCTTCTCGGCTGTAGCCCCCACTCTTTGGAATACTCTGCCCCCGGAGGTGAGATTGGCCCCTCACTCCTGGCCTTCCAGTGGGCTTTGAAGACCAGGTTCTGCCACTTGACCTGGGATGGGGAGGGAATACATCAAGTGTGGGGATGGCTAGCTCCATAGAGGCCTGCTGTCTTCAGCCCCAGAACCATCATTTTCTTGGATTTTCTTCTCCTTTTTTGGTAATGTTTTGTATAATTTTTGTTTTATGTATTTATATATATTTATTGTTTTAATGCTGTGTGTGAGCCACCCAGAGTCCCCCATTGGGGGGAGATGGGCAGAGAGAAAATAGATAGATAGATAGATAGATAGATAGAT